TTGTCCTCTTTCTGGTGTCCCCATCGATATTTGTCTTTTTTATGTGATAACTGGAGGCGGAGTTATTGCTCATCTTGAGCCCCACGACATCAGAGACAGTCTGTGGGGTGATTTCTCTGTTATCTGTATGAACCCATTCAACTCCAGGGTGTGAGACCAGTAATATCAACTAAATTTTTTGTTTAAATTTAAAGATTCTACATTATTTCCATACAGAAATGTAATATATGACATATATGTCACCTATACAGGGATATAATATTGTCATATATATACATCCTCTGGATATATGAAGATATAAGTTCATAAAATATATGAAATGCCCAAAGTAAAATTTGTATGTGTTAAAAATAATGGTATAAAATGTTGCAAACATTTATGTTAACAATGTATATTTGATTTATATATGCAAGTTTAAAACAACATCAATATAAAAATTCTATATACTTATATATGCTTTTATAATTAATTTCTCTTTAATTTGAAACATGTCCATTGTCCCATTCAGGGAAATATCAACATGTATTGACAGGCTTTGGTATGGATCAATATTAATGTAACATATGTCTACAATATAAGCACATATACATAAATATACATATTTCTATGGGCTAGACATATATGTCAATATATGAAATTGTTCCTATTTTTAATAGTTTTTAAAATAATTTTTACATATGTTTTTATTTTATAAACATATATTTCATATATGGAAATTCAATTTATATTAAAATTTCTTATGAGATTTTTGATTATTTTTAATGAATCTTTTATTGATCATTTAGTCTATGAAATATTTGTAGAGAACTACTATAAAATGCCCATTACAGGTCGTCAACTTACTTTTTTTCGTGAGAGCAGTAGATATTCCCTTTACACTAACACAGAACAGAGGTAAGCAGGAAATCGTCACATCTAAAAAGCTGTAATTGAAGAATTTATGATAGTTTTGCAGGGATAATTACTCAAAATCATTTGCTCTAAAAAAATTTTGTTCAATCTGTTCTGACTGTTTAAGAACTAATGAGTTGGATGTTATGGGCCAGCTGATGTCCAGAGGGTAGATGCTGTAGGTGATCAATCAGAGAACATCAGAGAGTATCAGTGCTGCTCCGTCTCCTGCAGTCACCAGCTGTGGCTCACCTGCTCAGCTGGTCCATTAGCTGATATCCCTCCATCTTACAGCTGGCTTTCATCTTCTTCTCTTTGTTTGGACCAAGCAGCAACCTCCAAGGCTGATAAATCAAGCCAACACAGACGTACCAAAACCTGCAGTTCCTCTAATGACCACTAGAGTCTGGCTCCAACAGTGTGTCAATCCCCATAGACTCCCATGTTAAAATGTCCAACTTTACAGCAAAAAATAAACATGTTCACAGCCTGGTACAAAAAAAGTTTTGGTCTCTTCAGCTAATTTCCTCCTCCATGACAACTGTATGGGGCCTAAGTTACAGTGTCTAGCTGCTAGCTGTCTGCTAGGCGCCACCTCAGCTAATTTGAGTTTGAATGTGACTTTTTGAGGATTTTTCATGCAGATATCAGACAAATAAAATGGCTTGTTGTTGGTTAATTGATTAAAAGAACATTAGGAAGGAAATTCTAGTTTTATGGCTAATTACCAGCTATCAGTGCCTGCACTCACCATACCTGGTTTATTAGCTGAATTAACTAGCTAATTTGCCAGCTAATGAATTAGCCTTGGGTTAGCCTTAGAGCCAGACGCCCAGACACGCAGCTGAGCTAATGATGCTCATGGAACGTATGCTTGCCATAGTTATTAAACCATCATGCACCAAAGTCTCAGCTCCTCACACACCCCACCTCTTTGCCCATTTCTGGATTGGCTGGGAGTTAGAAGGCGGAGTCATGTACTGCCAAGATGGTGACTGCATAGCAGCTCAATCTGAGCTTCAAAATTGCTCTTCAGAAACGTATTGGTGATGTCACTGAGGTTATGTCCATCTATATTTACAGTCTATGGTCTTTTTGACACCTCTGCAGCACTTATCTCATACATCCGTGTTTTGCTTTCTTTGCTCTTTTATTGTCTTGATTAAGTGACCAATCTTTATAAAATATCAGGAAATGGGTAATAATTTCCTGGGGCTTAAGCTGAAATCTGGAGATAAAATGACAACTTGCTCTTTAATAGTCTTTTAATCAAGTTTTTTTTCCTGCCTGTCCTGTAGTTTACAGTCTGTTTCATCCACAGACCAGCCAGCGGATGGTAGATCAAACACAGCTCTAACCCAAATTTCATTCTTGGCTCCTTAAAATAATTCTGTCCTTGTATTATTGTCTCTCGCTCCAGAGACGAGGAGGCTGAGTGCTGCTGAAACTGTGCCAGGTGCTTCAAGAATTATAATGTAGTGAATCACTTTGCACAGAGGCTTTCACCCATGAGAGGTGGATAATACTCACACTCACTTAAAGATCATTTTCAGGGTGTCTTTTTTTTTTTGAATGTAATGTATTCAAGTATATGGGACATGAATAAGGATAATAAATAATATCATGACTGTAGTTTATCAGTTGGGGTAAAAAGTAGTTTGGCCTCCTGGATCACCAGTGTAAAAGTATTGCAATGTACAGTATGAATGTCTTTTTGCCTCATTTCTAATGTGGCTCCTGGGATGACATTACACCACCAGTTTGGTCCAGTCTGAAATATCTCAACAGCTGTTTTGTACAGACGTCACATAGATATTTTTAATTTATGTACATATACACATTTTATTTTATATATGTAATAAACTTCTTATATATAATATCTTCATAAATCCACAGGATGTATATTTGTGATATAATATATCCCTTTATATGTGACATATTTGGCAACATCACTCATCATATAGGGACATATATGTCATGTATACACTATGCTAGTGAGCATGGTAAACATTGTACCTATATCTCATTTTGAGCATATTAGCATGCTGATGTTAGCATTTAGCTCAAAGTGTTGTGCGTAAGTTCAGCCTCACACAGCTCCTATTATGGCTCAGTCTGTTTCTTTACATTAACATATTCATTTAACTTTGAATTATAGAGTCTGTACATTGTTCCTTCTTACATGATGCCTAAATGCTGTTTTGAAGTACTTACCATATAAATAAATAAATACTAAATCCTTAGTAAAACAGTCAAATTTAAGAATAGTGACTCTAACAAATCAGCTTTAAAACACTTCTGTATGTATGCTCCTGTAAGCTCTGTCTCAGGTTGTAAAAAACTCTCAGATTCCCGGAGACAACACCAAGGACACAGCCTCGGTGTCCCTCAGTGGGAGCTCTGACCCTGAAGTGTTTCAGTCAGCAGTTCAATAATGCTGTGAGTGCATGAGAAAAAAATCGACCTGCACAAAATCCTCAAGTTTCAGTCAATTTCTTACATTTTATTACTGTTGCACCATTTATACAAGTACATATAATTTTGAATGCATCAATTTCCATATCATCTTTTTGTTAGTTTGAATGAACGTGTGGTGTGGAAATAGCAGTGGTGAAAACATGGGATGAAAATATCAACTGTAGTTGCCATGGATGCAGACTGAGAAATCATTTTTTTTATTTTTTTTTCCACTTGACCAAAAAGACAGGACTACAGGTTCACCCAACCACGGACATGCAATTTACTGAGTCAAGAGAGGAAGAAAAAACCAAAACCAAGTGACACACGACGCCCGCCCCCCCCTCGAGTGTTTGTTTCTGCTACAGTTTGACAAGTGCTGGGAGGGAAACGCTGTGTGTCACGTGGACCAAACTGAAAAGCTGGCAGATGTATGATGGCTGAGATGAGTAAATATATAGACATATACCTACATGTATGCAGATGTGGAAGGTATGAAAGTACATTCACTAAAGCACTGTAGCTGCTGCTACCTTACTCCACTTTTATTGTGTCAAACTCTTTCAAATTCAGATTGTCCATTCATCACAAGATAAGATCATAAAATATCACTGTTGTTTCCTGTCCTTCAGTCTTCCCTTATTTCCTTTCCTTTCTTGTTTACTTCTTTTTTCCCTCTCTCCTTCCCTCTTTCCTTGTTTCTAAAGATCCCATTCCTTTCTTTCTTTCTTTCTTTCTTTCTTTCTTTCTTTCTTTCTTTCTTTCTTTCTTTCTTTCCTTTTTCTTCCACCGCTGCATATACGTACATATGTCATATATATTCCTGAAAAGCAAACGAAAAAATGCATTAGGCATGGAAAATGACAAAATCAGAGGCCCTCCCTTTCATGTGCAAGGCTTTTCCATCCCACAATGAGAGCATGGCGTACGTTTGCCACAGAAACATGGACCTAAGTAGATGGGGTGGTGTCCTGTCCTGAGAGGGATCAGGCTGCTAAAAACTTGAGAGTCCCACTGAAACAGACCCGGGTCAAACACCACCTGCAAATCATCTCGTCTGGGCTGATTCCACCTACTTAGACACCAAACTGGTGAAGTTCACTCCACAGGACAGCGTCAATAACAAATGTTTTATCAAAATAGTTTGATTAGATTTATCACCTCCTGTAAAAAAAAAAAAAACGAGCTAATAGGTCGTCGGTGCAGCAGGTTATTATGACCCATAGTTACGTTTTGTCGCTAGGCGACATCTAGTGGTCGTAGTAATTATGAGGGAAAAGTGCGATGATCTTTCAGTGATAAAGAAAGTTGAGGAAGAACTTATTTCAACCCAAATCACGATCTTTTCCCTAAACCTAACCAAGCCATGACCGTTATTATAGTAACCGTGGCGATGAAGGTAGGTGCACCGCTCTCAAGTACAAGTCTGTGTGTTTATTATTGTAACCATGACAACCAAGGTCTGGTACGCTTGCCGCCGTAGGGGCACTATTTCAGGAAGCACTCCTATGGGTCGTATCAGAGGGATGAAAAAACGACCTGTGTGGTTGCTCAGGTTGGAGGAGTTGTTGCTCAAAACATATAGAAAAAGTTTGCAGAATTTTTCTATATATGAGCATATGATGCGTAAACTCATCTGGAAACAACCAAATCATTTTGATAATTTCATTATTTCAAATTTCTATTAATTATTACTATTTCTCAAATTCAATTCCAAATTGGCATTTTGGGGCTGATTTAAATATATGAAATATATTTTGCTGTTAATCCTTGATTTAAATCGAATGCAGGACATAAGTACATCTTTTCTTGTGGTTTTTTTGTTGAAGCAGTAAACGTCACCTTTTTGGTCTTCTAAGCAAGCTCAAACTATCTCTGTGTCATGACTGCGAAGCCCATTTCACCCAGGTCAGCGGTGGATATGTCTTTCAAAAACAAATCGTATCATCTGTGAGAATTTTTCTTCAGATTGTCTTTCTAAGAACATCGTAGACGTCTTTTCAGCGCGGCTTTGCAGATTTTTATAAGCATATTACAAATGTTAAAAAACCACTTAGTTCACTTATAATATACCTAAGGGTTTCAGTACAAAATCTAGAACCTTATCTGAAAAATTCCTATGACTGTTTTATGTCTAAGAATGTGTTTCACTCTGCAAAGCCCGCCTCCAGAATGTTCTAGAAAGCCTGAACATCCTCCGTCCTCACGATAAACTTAACCTCCTCCTTTTGTAGAGTGGTGTTTAACCCCAAGAGGAAAATGGGCAGCAACACAACCCAACAACACCAAAAAAGCCGGGGATGGGGGAGGATGGGTTAAAAAAGAAAAAGGACACTACCACAACTCCACGGCACCAGAAAGCTAGAGGTACCAGGCCAAAGCCGACAACACGACACTCTGAGGAGGAGGATGAGTGGAAGGGGGGGGAGGGGGGGGGGCTGAGGGGTGGATGGGTTCAGTGGAGGTCCAGCTGGTAAAAGTGATTTGTTAAACCCTCCACCTCCTTCCCTCAGAACCATTTCCCCAAATTTAGATCTAGTGACATCCACAGAGCAGAGGGGTGCAGGTGAGTGTATGAGCGCGGGCCCTCTGTGGGGCCAGATGGGAGTCAGGTTCAACCCCATGACCATATGAGGGAGAGGGATGATGGGTGTGGAATGGTGAAGCGAATGGCCGACACAGACTCGTATCAAAGTTCAAATACTACAGCAGAAAAAAATAGAATAAAACATAACAATAATAATAGCAATAATCATCTGCAGCGGTGGGAAACTTCTCCAGGTGGTTGCTCCAGTCCTCCTCATTCAACAAATCATCATCATTACAATTATTATTATTATTGTTATTATCATAATATGGGTGGGCTAGTTAATTTCATTTTCATTTTTTTATCTTCTTCGTCGTTGAGTTAGGTACTTTATTTTTTTCATTTCCGAAAAGAAGCTGTCCATTAATCTTGAACTGCTACGGTTTGATCCTTGCTTGGTGCCTCTGTGGCGTTCGCCTCCTTGGCGGGAGGTTCGGCGGCTGGTGTTGAACTAGGTGCAGCAGCGGCCTCCTTTGCTGGTGCTGGAGCCGCTGCCGCCGCTGCCTCTGTGGGCTTGGGGTCAGGGGAGGCAGCAGGGGCCGCCTCTGCTTTGGCTGCTGGTGCCGCGGGGGCCTCAGTCTTTTTGGCGTCGGCCTCATCTTTGCTCTCGGCCGCCGGGGCGGGCGCCGCGGCCTTGGCCTCGGGTTCCTTGGCGGCAGGGGCGGACTCTTTGGCCGGGGCGGGGGCAGCTGGTTTCTCCTCGGCCTTGGCGGGCTCTGCGCTCTTGGGCGCCTCCGTTTTCGGCTCAGCGTTGGCGGCAGGTTTCTCGGGCTCCTTTGCGGCGGGAGCTGCATTCTTCTCCTCCTCCTTGGGCGCTGCGGCGTCTGCCGCCGGCGCCTCCTTGGCCGCCGTGTCGTTCGCTACCTCCTTAGCATCAGTGGCAGCCTGGGCCTCATCTTTGTTGTCCTTCGGTGCTTCGCTCTCCTCAGCAGAGGCCCCCTCTGCTTTGGCATCCTTGTCTTTGGCCTTCTCATCATTTACATTGTATCCCTTCTTCTTTTTGCTGAGCTTGCCTCCCATTTTGGATCTCTGGCTTCTGAAACCGAAGGGGAAAAATAATTCAAGTTTAGTATTAGACAATTCCGAATGAATACGTCCATTAAGAAGAAAGTGCGACTGGAAGCAAGCACATCCTACAAAAGAAACCTTACAGCAGTAAATGAAAGCGACAGACTAAGCGATGCTCTTCTTCACAGGACGACTTCTGATGAAGAGCAGTCTCTCTTTGTGGTAAGAATTAATCATGTTTTGCATCAGCAGCTTCTCAGTGTGCAAAATCTGACGTGTTCACATGAGCGTTCATAAGAGAACAGCCTGCACAGAAATTATATGTAGTCATGCATTTATGGAGAAAAAAAAAAAAAAACATCTCTTGTGTTGCATATTTGATGAGTGCTCTCAACCTGAACCACACTCTCCTCAGAGAGCCTCGCAGCGTGATCTTTCTCTCTGTCGGATCAGGCGGAGCTTATTCAAACATGAGGAGAGGAAACAGTGATGCGAGTTTAAATGTTGCGGAGAGAGAAGGTGAATAAAAACATCCCTGGACTACAGAGACTCTCAGCACAGCTCATCTCTCACCTCTCGGATCAAGTGTTTCTAATTAAGAAGGCAAGAAAAAAAAAAAAAAAAAAAAAAAAAAACGTGCCTCCACCGCTGAAATGCCAAGAGCAAAAGGAAATTAAAATATGTGTTAGTGAGACAACACTCCTATCAAATAGCCTTTTAAGTTCCTCAGAGGTCTGCTGAAGTCGGCTAATTGAATTCACACCTCACAGAAAATGGTACTAATAGATTTTAATAGTTTTTACATGCTACTTATGTAGTGAAGGAGACATGGAAACTAATATCTGGTGTTCAGCTAGGGCTGGGCAATTAACCAAAAAAGACATTTAGAATCCCTCACTGACTTCATCTTGCTCATATCGGTTAATACTTTCACCATTGCTGCGTTCGTGAACTGTCCCCTTAAAAAAAAAAAAACACCTTGTTTTCAGTCAGGTGGCCCCGCCCTGTCCAGCTAATAACAGTCCACGTTCGTTCAAAGTGAAGCTGGGGTTGTGGACGACACAAGCGCAAACACTGAGCCCAGAGGCGCAGATTGTGAACAGGCAAGGCAGGGCCTCAGGCTGTTAGGGGGGGCCCTGAGGGCTGACAAACTTTACTCCACTGATTTTTCTTAAAGGTCCATATTTTCCCTTTTCTCCTGTGTTTGAAGAAGAGAGGAGGCTCTAAGCCTCTCTTCTGATTGGCTGTCTGTTTCTCAGTGATCAAATAAAAATATAGCAGATTTCAGGTAAAAACACTCACAGAAACCAAATCCTGCAAGGCTGAACGGTGGGTACAGGTAGGTGGGGCTTGGGGCATGGCTGAGAGCGGTGACTGTTTTGTTGTGACATCACAGAGTTCCAGAAGTCCTGACGGCTGGTTTTAAGGCTCAGTTTCTGAATACAGGCTGTGTGCATTTCTCTGTGGACTGAGGCTTTGATAGTTTCACAATATTAATATAGAACCTAGACCTGATCTATAATCAAACAATTATATTATATATATAAACAATTATATAATATATTATAAAAAAAACTGGAAAAGTGTAAATATGAGACCTTTAAAACAAACTGAAGAGTGTTTTACTGATGTTTTGGTTTTGAGGTGCCTGTTGCTGCGATTCCTGCCCCCTACTGCTGCACAATGGTGGCGCTTTCATAGAATTTAAAATCTGACATTTAAATTGATCAAAATTAAACATCTGTTTCCAGAATCAGTGTCAAAAGAAGAGCAAAAGTATCTGCATGGATTATTATTGATAAACTAACTCCACATGAAATGTACTTTTATAGAAACAAAAAGATTGAGTGCATCATGTAAAGCGGTGTATCAAAGAATCATTTTCTCTGAATTGGATCTCTGTATTTCTGTGCTTTAAGAAATCATTTAATGATGTATTGTTAATGACTGTAGGTCGTCAGTCACTAAGCAGGTAGATAGCACTGTGTGTAGTCAGGCTACACACACACACACACACACACACACTTGCAGATTCTTGGCTCGCTCCTTCAGCTGAAGCTTTTTTTTCATGGATATCACCATCTGTCTACTCAATGGGGGAGAGGACTTCAATACCACAACAAATCAGGCTTATTAGGAGCAAAGACTCAAGAACGGTACAATTTGTTGTTTGAAATGTGAAGTCTGTATGTTGATGCTTCAAACTGCCAAAAACTATTTGGCAGTTTGTTCTGCTCACGAGGAAAAGACGTGCGGTGTATATTTTAAATTCTGTGGTCTGGAAAAAAAAAAACAGAAAACTAAAATCTAAGATCTATTCCCAGCTGTTGCAATAGTTTGAAAAGTAAATACTTCAACTCTTTATGAATTGTCAATGAAAAAGCCTCTTAGTTTAATGATTAGAAAGCACTCACATCTTGCTGCCAAAACACAAGCTTCATAATTGCTTTTATACCACAAAATGTGTTTGATCCACTCTTGCATCTGAAGCTGCATCTAAGCACTCAAACAAACAATGATGGGGTATATAGTAAATGTCTTTCATTTATGTAACTATGCGCGGCGATCCATGGGAAAATAGCAAAAATATTAAAACATGCACAAAAAAAGTTAAAAATTCTATAATCCTTCAAAAAAATTGATGGCAAAATGTAAATGTAATGACGTTCATACCAAATTTACACAAGTCCACAAATCAGGTGAACCAAATTAGCTGTGCTGACTTGAACTTAGATGTAAATAAGTCACTCTTGTAACATTTAAAAAACCTTGTTCAGCTACAACTTGTCCCAAACGCAGCTGCTCGAGTTTTAACAAAAACAAAGAAATGAACACATGAACGTATCGCACCCATCCATTCACCTGTCTCTGCACAGGTCACCTGTCTGCAGCTCAGATTCTAGATTACTGGGTAATATTAATACTGATAGCAGGTTTGACAAAAGTTATTGTAATGGTCTAAAACAGAATCAAATGAATGACCATTGTGTAAAATAAAAAAAATCAACGTATAAAAGAAAAATGTTTTGAAATGCGGAGATTTTGATGGACTAACTTGTACTAGCTAACCACTAACTCTAATAACTACGTCATTCATGTAGTTGATGCCAAAATCACCTGTAAATGTGAATCTGTTCCTCCCAAACCAACCAGACCACTGAGAGACTCTGCTGGCTACTCACAGATTCTCCCTGTGAATGGGACGGAGCCGGCGGTGAATCCACTCAAAATGCTAATCACCTCGTCACCGCTGACTGAATTACTCCACTATTCATGCAAAACACCCCCCCCTGCACTTCCAAGCAGTCGGTATCTGCCGGGGTCGCCGTCCCTGCCGCAGCTTTATACGAGCCACAATGGAGGTCTCTCTGCTACATCACATCATTTGACTCCCGGCTTGTGCTGCCAGTACAATGACTCACAATCATCTGGGCAGACAATGGCTTCTTTTCAACCAAAGGCACGCTTTCTTGCTGCTGGGCGTGTGGTTTTAGTGTTTGAAGAGCTGGGGGCAGGGCCGAGACAACCTGGGGGAAATGCTCTGGGTTGGCACAAAAGACTTAATTTAACCTGCAAACTGCAGCCAGGGAAGCACAAAGGAAGTCGGCTATGAACTTCCAGCATCACCTCATTTATTGCTTTCACATCAGCGGCAGCATCATGGTGAATTCCTGGATCACACAGCTTGGAAGGCTGAAAGCAACAATCCAAAGACGCTCTTCCTTCATTCTCTTCACTTCATTTTTCAATTAATGAAGCTTAAATGGATTTCTTGACTTTTCAAATAAGGATTTGGAATCAAGTGTCTCAATCCATTTAGACACACTTTCATTGTTAACGGCTATAAAAAGTTAATCTGCTAACAGTGGAAATCCCTGATCTCAATCACTGTGAAATCACTTCTTGTTCCCTGACCACAGCTGGTCTCTGTTTCCAAATCTCATGAACTTCTCATGAGAAGATCTGGACAGACTTAGATGTAAAGTCATAGCAGGTGAAATTCTAACCCACTTTACAGGCTAAATCTGTCTCAATTAAACCTTTTGGCTGATTATTCTTACTTCCCAGCCCTGCAAAGGAACCTCCGCTGCACCCATTTTCAGGGTTACATTCAATACTTAAAACACTTCTTTCAGTGAATATTAATTATTTTTTAGACAGATGACAAATGACAAAACTAAAAAATATCGCCTATGGTGGAAACTATCGTGATATTCAATACTATCAAATATCGGCCCAAGTGTCTAAAGGGTCTGTCTAACAGCTAAGGAAAACCTTTTCCCTATCGGCCCTGAAATAAGTTTAACTTGTCTCTTTCCTGCAGTGATGTCCAGGTGTTATCCAGGTGTTGGGGGTTACAGGTGCAGCGGACACTTCTGACTGAGGAGCTGAAGTAGAGTTGAAGACACCGCTGAGACTCCTTCAAGGACCTGCACTCACACTGTTCTTAAATCTTTACAGACCTCAGTGAAAACTCTTCTTTCTAAGGTCCAGTTATTTTCCCTGAGAGTGCACATACGCATGATTAACACCACCTGCACTTTTTTCTCCTGTTCCTTTTTTTTTCTCTCACTGTGTTCAGCAGTTGCCTCCCTCAGGCCTGCAGGCTGCTGAGTTCACAAAACACATGATTGATCACTCAGCGGCGGCGTTGAGTAAAGAGAATTTAAACAACATTATTAATCTGCGATCAAATCCGTGTCCGCCCAGCCGAGAGGTGGCAAAGCGATTTAAGATGCGCAAAACTCCCTGAAGGAGCAGATGGCTGAGTTTTCCTCAGAAATTTTTTCTTCTCAAACTCTCACTCTTCCCCGCGACTCATCTCTCACACCTACATGCCGACGCCACTGCTCAGCTCTGCCCCCCCCCCCCCCCCCCCCCCCCAGCTACCCGACACACCACTCGCCTCCCACTTTGCTCCTCTCTGCAATAATCCCTCCATCATTGCTCCAGCCTCACCTCCTCTCCTCGTCTATACTCTTATCTGTTTCACCTGCAGTGTTTTCTGTCCTGAGAATGTCATTTCAA